AAGATTACACCACTGCACTCCAACCTGGGCAACAGAGTGAGATCCCATTAAAAAAAAAAAAAAACAGGCCGGGCACAGTGGCTCACGCCTATAATCCCAGCACTTTGGAGGCCGAGGCGGGTGGATCACGAGGGCAAGACATCGAGACCATCCTGGTCAACATGGTGAAACCCCATCCCTACTAAAAATACAAAAAAAAAAAAAATTAGCTGGGCATGGTGGCGCATGCCTGTAATCCCAGCTACTCAGGAGGCTGAGGCAGGAGAATTGCCTAAACCCAGGAGGCGGAGGTTGCGGTGAGCCGAGATCGCCATTGCACTCCAGCCTGGGTAACAAGAGCGAAACTCCGCCTCAAAAACAAACAAACAAACAAAAAACCCCAGCATTTTGAGAAATAATTCACATTCATGTACCAAGACATGCACCTTTAAGGCAAAACATGAGACTTCAAAAAAATTTGGACTTGCAGTGAGTGCTTCAGGTTGCCCTGGCTCTGAGCTATGGGCTACACTTCACTCTCTTAGATGATCTTTGCAAGAAGCACTAGTTTAGTTGAAGCTTTCAACTCCCTAACTTTGCAGAGAAGGAATTTGGGCCCCAGAGAAATGAAGAGATCTCCATGAGGACACACAGCATCTTTTCTTTCTTCTTGTTTTTCTATTTTTACTTTTTTTTTTTCTTTTTCTTTTTTTTTTGAGATGGAGTTTTGCTTTATTGCCAGCCTGGAGTGCAGTGGCGTGATCTCAGTTCACTGCAACCTCCGCTTCCCAGGTTCAAGTGATTCTCCTGCCTCAGCCTCCTAAGTAGCTGGAACTACAGGCGCGTGCCACCACACCTGGCTAATTTTTGTATATTTAGTACAGATGGGTTTTCACCATGTTGGCCAGGCTAGTCCCAAACTCCAGACCTCAGGTGATCCCCCCGCCTCTGTCTCCCAAAGTGCTGGGATTACAGGCTTGAGCCACCGCGCCCAGCCTATGTTTTTACTTTTAACCAGAAGCCCAAATCTCACCACATATACAGCATCTTAATAGAAAAGTAGGAACTAGAACTTCAAGCTTCAAGTTTAATACACCTAAACATGCCGGTCATTTAATATCTCTCTTCTTTTCTAGTCCTCATCCACAGTCATATATAGTTTTCATGTTGTTGAAATTATTATTGTATAGACACAAATTTTAAAAATACTTTTTTGTTGTTTGAGACAGGATCTCACTCTGTCACCCAGGCTGGAGTGCAGTGGTGAGATTGTAGCTCACTGCAGTCTTGAACTTTTAGGTTTAAGCGATCCTCCTGCCGCAGCATCCTGAGTAGCTAGTACTAGAGGCACATGCCACCACACCTGGCTAATTGTTTTGTGTTTTGTTCTTGTAGAGATGGGGGTCTTGCTATGTTTCCCAGGCTAGTCTTGAACTCCTGGCCTCAAGAGATTCTCCTACCCTGACCTTCCAAAGTGCTGGAGTTACAGGCGTGAGCCACTGTGTCAAGGTTTTAAAGAATTAATATTCTAATACGAATTATTTTTTCTTCTCTCAAGTTCTGTCATGTCAACTCTGATTCTTCTTTAGGCTTTCCCCTTACTGTATTAGTCTGTATAGCTAATACACTTGCTGTGTTTGCCTGCCTGAATGGTATTTTTTGTAAAAGTCCCCAAAATTCAAAGACACATTTTATCAGCATTTGTTGGAATCTCTGACCTAATTTTAAAATTTAAAATTAAATATTTTTCCTCTTCAAAGTCTACCTCTTTTGACAGTACTTACAATTTTTCTCCTTAATTAAAAAAATAATAGATACCTTAAGAAACACTTATGGCTAGGTATGGTGGCTCACGCCTATAATCCCAGCACTTTGGGAGGCTGAGGCAGGAGGATCACCAGGTCAACAAATCGAGACCATCCTGGCCAACATGGTGAAACCCAGTCTCTGCTAAAAATACAAAAATTAGCTGGGCATGATGGCATGACCCTGTAGTCCCAGCTACTCGGGAAGCTTAGGTAGGAGAATTGCCTGAACCCAGGAGGTGGAGGTTGCAGAGAGCCGAGATCATGCCTCTGCACTCCAGCCTGGTTACAGAGTGAGATTCCGACTCAAAAAACAACAACAACAAAACCAAACACATGTGTCTCCTGCCACCCCCAGCATCCTGAAGGGCAAACTGGACTCTTCAAACTCCCCACCTCACTTCCCTCAGCAAAGAACTTCTCTGCCACTAAGCCATTAGAGACCTCGTTTCATTTTCATCCTCCTTAGAACACGCCATCAGTTGCTTCTCTCTTAGTTGGCATAGTAGTTCTCAGCTTTCCTGCACACCCAGACTCACCTGGGGTGGGGGGACTGGTGTTTCTAATTTATTTTTACTGTGATGGGGACATGATTCTCACTTTCAGCCAATTTCAGCCAAGATTAAGAACTTCTGCCTTGGATGAATAGGTTTAAATAAATGTGTTTTTCTAAGGGTATTTTTGTTGTAAAATAAGTCCAGTTGGGAAAGTAAAATACTTGGCTTTTGTGAAAGAAACTGCATTGGGTATCATTTGGAGCTGGCAGAGGAAGTATTTTTTGGATAAGACCATGGAAATTATACAACTTTGTCCTCATCCATCCATTTATTTATTTACTATCCATTCATTAAAAACCTGCACTGTGCCAGACACTAGAGATTTAAATGTAGTTCCTGCTTTTAAGGGGCTTACAACCTAATAGCAGGAGAAAAAATACTCAAGCAAATATAATAAGGTGCCATATAGGCTTGACAGAGGCATGTGCACAGGCTTTCCCCAAATAAGGAATATGTTACAATTTAATTTCAAGCATATTAACAAAGTATATTTCTATAGCATCATATGTAAATCAAGTTTAAAAACTGTAGCCGTTCATGATTAATTGGAAGTCATGGGAAAGTTAGATGTATACAAACATTATAGTTATGTCAATAGTGAATGGGAAGTTCATTTGAAATTAAAGTCACATTTGAGGGTGCCTTAAAATGACAAAAACTAATTAACAGTTGGTGAAAAATATAGTAAAAACTTAGTTTGATACATGACACAAATCATTTAGGATTATAGGAAAAGAGTTACAGAGTTAGATAAAAAGCAAGTAAGCAAGGCAAGTATATGATAAAGAGACATTAAGACAAAGAATAGAAAAGAAACAATAAGTAGGGACAAGAAAAAGGGCAAAAAAAAAAAAAAAAGATAAAAGAGCCCATCATAAAGAAAACATAATCACTCCAGAACACAGTTAAAATGCAGTTAAGATCATCTCAAGTTAATGATATATTTGAAGGAAAGGAAAGAATTACAAATTTTAATGAAAATAGATTACACATCATAGCATAGTACTTTAAAATAGATACTATTACACACATTTTCATTGACTATTTATTTAAAACATGGTATATAAAATAAATCCTTTTGGTTCATTTAAAAAACATCATTTTAGGAGTGAGCAGACCGAAAATAAAAACTCCTTAAAGAATTGCAACAATGTCCCTACTTAAAATTTAACATATGAAAAACCTAGCAAAAATCAAGAAAAAGCCAACAGTGAAACCAAGCCAAAAGCACTGGGAGGGTTTGTTCAATAAAGAATCTGGGTATCTAGTTTTTTTTTAATATAAAATCCTACAAAATTCCACCATACTATAAAAAAATCTTGAAATTATGCCTGTGGGGATCCAAATCTTCTCAGCTTGGCACTGACAACCCATTATATACACTGATGGAAAGCATACTGAATCGAGCACTCACTTTATTACTACAGATATATCACATGGCTGGTATGATGTTTATAACCAATTGTCATTTATGAATATGATTTTTTTGCATTTTAGAGCAAGTTAATGAAAATGAATCTATTACAAATAGAGTACTAGATTTTTGTTCACAAAAGAAAGTGAGTTAGACTGTTGTAACACTACTATTTCAGTGCTATGTATATTCTTTTGAAAAATATTGCAAAGAGATGGTGCTTCTGAGCAAAGTGGTCTAAAATGGTAGTTTTCACAGAAGCATTTTGTGCAGGGAAGGTGTATCTATAACCAGAATAAATGCTGCTTCTTCCATGTTGGAAGCAGTCCAGTGTAATCGACCTGCCACCAGGTAGCTAGCTGATTAGGGAATGGTGCCATATGGGAGACTCAGGTTGGTCTCTGCTGCTGGCAGATTGAGAATTTAGCGGTGGCATCCACTGACTGGAAGTCTATATTGCCTTCATGGTCACCTTGTTTATGAGTTCACTGAATGATGACAGGAGTCCCTGGGAAGGAGGCTGACTGCTATCCACAGAATGGGTCCTCCTATTCACCATCATGGCATTCTACACAGCATTGCTTCTGATCATGAAACTCATTTTATGGTAAGTAAAGTGCAGTAGGAAGTGAAATTTACTTGTCTTACATGTTCTCCACCATCCTGAAGCATCTCTGGCTTGACAGAACAGTGGAGGGAGGAAGTATTACTACCATGCTACTGATTCACTAGCAAAATTTTTGCTTCCTACTCCTGAGATTTTATGTCCTGCTAACCTAGAAGTCTTAGTTCCAAAGGGAAGAATTCTTCCACTAGCAAACACAGCAATGACTCCTTGAACTGGAAGTTAAGATTGCTGCCTGGCCACTTTGGCTTTCTGGTGCCTCTGAATTAGCAGGCAAAGAAGGGAGTTAATGTACTGCTGGGATGGTTGATTCTGATTGCCGAGGGAAACTAGTCTGCAATGACACGATGGAGATACAAAAAAGACTGAAATGCAGGAGATCTATTAGGGTGTCTCTTAGTCCTGCCATACCCTAGAGTAAAATCAATGAAAAACGAAAACCCAGTTCAGGCACAACTACTAATGGCTTACTTAGATTGTCCATGAATGAAGATTTGAGTCACCTGATTAGGTAAACAATCATGACTAGCTGAGTGACATGCTTGTTGAGGGCCAGGGGAATACAGAATGGATAATGAAAGAAGGTAGTTTTTTTTTGTGTGTGTGTAGTTCAAAGTTTCAAAAATATGGAACGCTTCACGAATTTGTCATCCTTGCCCAGGGGCCATGCTAATCTACTCTGTGTCATTCCAATGTTAGTATATGGGCTGCCGAATCGAGCGCTTGTTTTTGTTTTTTAAACAGAGGCGAGGTTTCAGTATGTTGTCCAGGCTGGTCTCAAGCTCCCAGCCTCAAAAGATCCTCCTGCCTCAGCCTTCCAAAGTGCTGGGATTATAGGCCTGAGCCACTGTGCCCAGGACCAAGAAGACAGTTTTAAGTATTACCTACAACCACATGACCATTTACAGAAATGAAGATGGTAATTGTTTCCTTATTTCCTTTGAAAGCATATATGTGTGTATTGGACGAATATCTTCTTTGCTTTCCTCCCATATCTCCTTAACATATAACATAAGATGTATTGATTTTACATCAAGTATTATCAACTTAACATCTGCTGTGGTTTAAATGCGTCCCCCAAAGACCATGTGTTAGAAACTTAATCCCCAAGGCAATAGTGCTGGGAGGTGAGCCTAATGAGAAGTGATTAGGCTATTACCGCAAGAGTGCGTCATTATAAAGGGCGAGTTTCATACGCTTTGTTCTCACTCTCTCACTCTCTCTTTTCCCTTCTGCCATGGGATGATAAAGCACAAAAGCCCTCGCCAAATTTGACCCTTCAGTCTTGAACTTCCCAGCCTCCAGAATCATGAGTCAATCCATTTCTGTTCATTATGAATTTCCCAGTCTCTAGTATTCTGTTACAGCAGCATTTAATGTACTAAGACAATATCATAGTAATATTTAAGTTACAAGATGTTAAGAAGAATGAACATTACTCAAGGACTTTGCTTTCTCCTCTGAGAAAAGGGTTATTGTATTTTTGGTTGCACTCAAGATAGTTGTATCATGTTAGAAGTATGGCTTTGCTATTGTCTTCACTTGGAGATTAAGTATGGCTTAAGAAGGTGCGAAGGGTTCCAAGTGGAGAAGTAATGGTCTGTGGTGATTTATTTTATGTGTCAATTCATCTAAGCTGTGGTGCCCAGTTGCTGGGCCAAACACCAGTCTGGATGTTGCTCTGAAGATCTTTTTTAGATGTGATTAACATTTAAATCAGTAGTGCTCATTGAAAATTTAAATCAGCTGAAGGCAGAAAGAGAAAACACTAAGGCCCCCCAAGAAGGAAAGAATTCTGTTTCCAGATTTCCTTCAGACTAAAAACTATGACATCAACTCTTGCTTCAATTTCAAGCCTACTGGCCTTTCTTGCAAAGTTTGGACTTTCAAGTCTCCACAATTGCGTGAGCTAAATCCTTAAAATTAATCTCTTTATTAGATATACATATCTAATTTCTGTTTCTCTAGAGAACTCTAATACACAAATGTTTGGCTTTTGGTGGATTGCAGTCATAGTAATATCACAAAGAAGAAATACATTATGAATATCTATGAAGATGGGATTTAAAGTGCAATTAATTATTATGGACTAAAGCCTCTTACATTTGGTAAAATTCTGTCTTCTGTTAAAATGCTACTATAAGTGGGTGCAGAGTTCTTGAAGTGAGGATGATAAATCTAAATTACTTGAGAAAATGAACTTAGGTCTCAAAGTTAAAATTAGCAAAAAGGTGTAGAGGTAGTGGTGGGAGGGCACTTGTCTCCTAACCAGCTCTCAGCAACGTAAGAGGCATCTGGGTTGTAGAGGTCTTGCCTTTCTGGTTGTGGTCACCCAATATTCCCACCCACCATGACTTCAGTAGGAATAGGAAGTATTTTAACTTTCATTGCTGTAAAATTTCCCCGCCTAACTTATATTCTGCTACCCCTGTGTTCATTGATTTCACTGAATTTTATGAAACAAAAATATCATATTCTAATGGTTTTCTTAGCCACACTCACTCTGCAAACATTTGTTGAGTGCCTAGCATGTGCCACACTTGTTCTAAATTTCATTCAGATAGAGGAGTTTGTTCAGTACTGGGTCTCTAGTACTTTTTGTTTGTTTGTTTGTTTGTTTGTTTGTTTGTTTGTTTGAGACAGAGTCTTGCTCGGTCACCCAGGCTGGAGTGCAATGGTGTAGCCTCAACCTCCTGGGCTCAGGAGATCCTCACACCTCACCCTTTTGAGTAGCTGGAACCACAGATGATCATTAGCTAATTTTTTTTTTAAATGCTAATTTTGAAGAAAGTTTTTTGTAGAGATGGGTGTTTTACCATGTTGCCCAGGCTGGCCTCAAACTCCTGGGCTTAAGCAATCCTCCCACCTCGGCCTCCAAAAGTGTTAACATAACAGGCATGAGCTAACATGCCTAGCCTCCAGTACTTGAACTAGAGTAGAAACTAAACAAATTTTCACTGAATTAATAAATGGAAAGAAGCATATCCTAACTTTTTCTCTTTTTTCGAAATGGAGTCTCGCTTTGTTTCCCAGGCTGGAGTGCAATGGCACAATCTAGGCTCAGGCTTTGCCTCCCAGGTTCTAGCAACTTCCCTTCCTCAGCCTCCCGAGTAGCTGAGACCACAGGTGCCTGCCAGCATGTCCAGCCAATTTTTGTATTTTTAGAAGAGATGGGCTTTCACCATGTTGGTCAGGCTGGTCACAAACTCCTGATCCACCCATCTCAGCCTCCCAAAGTGCTGGGATTACAGGCGTGAGCCACCATGCCCAGCCCAATCTTTTTTTTTTTTTTTTCAGTCATTTTGTGCATTATCTTCTGGGCTTCATGTCAAAGGTTGTTAATAAATGCATCTTAGTTATGAATATAACAAGTCATTTAGTGACTATTAGTTGTGACAAAAAGCCTTTTTTAAAAACTGTGTTTTATGAAAAGCTTTGAAGTCTTAGATGGAAAGCACAAACAATCTTCGTGCACTTATTTCCAAAGTTTACTTTTTAATTGATTGGTGATGAAGTAAAGCGTGTTTTTCTATAGAAACAAGGTTTTGGAGGGGCTTAAATTCTGAGACCTGTCCTTCTAATACCTGTGACATCAGTAATAGTACAGTACTGGTAATAGAACATAACCGTCATATGCATTTCTGTGGAAAACTATGCTTCACTTGGATGGGGACTCTGCTAAACATGTATAGATGAATATGGCACATCTCAGGGTAATGTAGTTGCCCTGTTGGGGAATACTCAAAGTCACCTGGGCTTGGGATTTTATCTTAGGGATGACAACAAGGGTTCCAGAGCAAGAAAAACAATCATCTCCAGAGAGAGGCAGAACTCAGATATGAGGCAATGTGATATTGTCAACGAAACCACTATTAAAGAGGGAGAGAAACGGCTGCAAAGCCCACAATATGGAGAGAGAAGAGGAAAGAGAATAAGAGAAGAGTCCAGGCGGAGGCAGAAAGAGAAGGGAGTTTAGTAATGAAAGAGTATTGTCAGTCTTAGGTGGTGGTTAGTGGACCATGTGTAATTCAGAGACAAAGTGTACGAGAAAGTACCCAATATTAGTAATTTATTTTAAAACTTGGTCTAAAAGAAAAGCAGGGTCTAAATGTTAGCTTTTGTTGGTTTATAAGAAAAGAACGTGATTAAATAAAACAGGTATTGTAGAAGAAATTTAAACTTTTTAAACTAAATACCATATATACTGAGAAAATATTTTTAACATGTATGACAGATACAAGGAATAATAAATATTCACATACCTACCACTCAGTTTAAGAACTTAGACATTAATCATCTAAAAGGGCAGGGGGTGGGGCAAGAGACCAACTGCAATTTCTCTGGTATTTGTGTGTCTGGAACTTCATAATTATTTGGGGGGAAAAACTGAAAACAAAACAAACAACCCAGGAGCCTAGGCTTTTAATCAAAGATGTTATAAAAAAGGACATTCATAAATAATGGACTAATTAAAGTATAACATTGATTGACTCTGTAAATGTTTTGAATAAAAACAGAGTTTTGTATTTTAGAGCTCAGGGACTATTGCTGGAATGGGTGTTCAGTGGTAAGATTCTCTGTCAAGTGGTTCATGTTTATAAAGCCTATTTCAAAAGAAGTGAAGGGTGTATTCTTGTGAAGACGGTTTTTCTAATGAGGCCAAAGAGCAATTATTTAGATGCACTCTGTTTTGCAAAGGCATTTTTCTATCCTAACTGCAACTGAACACCGACATAGGTCTCTGGACCTAGGGTTTTATAAAAACTCTTGCATTTTAACCAAAGGAGTCTATTGTTTTTTGAATGTGCTTTAGTTCCTGGATATAGTGTTTCAGAGCTGCATGGAATCTTAAAAATGTAGGACTCAGGTATGAAATTGAGTCCCAGATGCATTTAATTACATGTCCAGAAGATTTTCTTGAAAAAGTTCTAGGGATGGACGGTGGTGAGGGTTGCACAACAAGGTGAATGCATTTAATGCCATCGAATTGTAACTTAAACATGGCTAAAATGGCAAATGTTACGTTATGCATAAGAAAGACACACACACAAAATGCTGTCTCATTGATTATGGGTTCAGATTCTGGTCTACAACCTATGTCTCTATTCTAAGAGAGGCTCCATCAGCCTATTTGAACTGAATCTTTTTTTTTTTTTTTTGAGACGGAATCTGACTCTGTCATCCAGGCTGGAGTGCAGTGGCACCATGACAGCTAACTGCAACCTCTGCCTACTGGCTTCAAGTGATTCTCATGCCTCAGCATCCCCACACCTGGTTAATTTTTATGTTTTTAGTAGAGACAGAGTTTTGCCATGTTGGCCAGGCTGGTCTTGAACTCTTGGCCTCAGATGATCTACCTGCCTTGGCCTCCTAAAGTGCTGGGCTTACAGGCATGAGCCACTGTACCTGGCCCACCATGAACTTTTATGTAAAGTGGTGTTAAGTCAGGTGAAGCCAATACCTGGTGTTATGTCTATCTGTATTCCAGTTTTTACATACTAGCAGTATTTAAGTGACATATGATTCTCACACTGGGCTTAATTTATTAGATTCTACTTTTTTTTTTTTTTTTTAAGACAGAGTCTTGCTCTGTTTCCCAAGCTGGAGTGAAGTGGCACGATCTTGTCTCACTACAACCGCTGCCTCCTGGGTTCAAGCAACTCTCCTGTCTCAGCCTCCTGAGTATAGATTCTACTTTTAATAGATATGTAGAGCTTTCTTTT